GGGGGGGATATAAGAGAACATCTTTTTTTAGTTGCTTTGTTTTGTTTTGTTTGTACGTTTATTGCTTTGCCATTTCCTTGCTTGCAAATGTATCATCATTTTGGTGATGAGCTACTCTTCTTGAAACTAAAACTTAGGCATTATTTGTTTCTTGTGGGTGGTTGGCGGGTGCTCTGGTGTGGTTTGCTTCTTCTTTCCTATCAAATTTCTATCGTCTTTATCTCCCCTCCTTCTTTTTTGTGCTTGTTACTCTCTCTTTTAACACCTCTAATCTTCGGCGCTAATATGACCTTATTGTGTTGCAAGTGCCATAAAACATTTACTATATCTGAAACTTGTTTGTTTGTTTCAGCATGAACTGAAGAAAGGAGGGGTCAAAGTGTTCCAGCAGCCCAGCCGAGGGGAGAACATGATGCTGCATGTCAAGGCCACACAAGGACTGGTAAGGTCGACCTTGGTGTCATTAATGCATAGCTGCCAACCAGTATGTATGTAAAAAAAACGTATATTAAAAATGTTTTTCAGGGTCAGAATTCAGAAGTCCGTTAGCTATGTGTTTGTCTATTATTTCTCCTCACGGGTTTGCCTATTTTTATTTTTAAAACTCTGAACTTTCAAGACTGGATTTGGGAAGAATACTGAGAATGGAGCCAATAGGTCAGTCGTTATTGTGTCTATCACAATACTTAGCTGTTGAGCATGGATTTATTAACTGCGAAAAATCTATGTGAAGGACAGGGGTGGGGGGAATTCATGAGTTCAATTTGTTTGCGAAAAACAGATAGGCTCTAGTGAAAAAATTAAACATCCAAAAAAAGCTAAAAAAAGACCAACATACAAAAAAAGCTTGGTGTACAGAAGTTACCAAGAAATGATTTCCTTGGAACAGCATTTGGTCATTGTTTATTCCTCAGCCTTATAACTTATATTGTCATTTCTATTTTATGGGAAGGTGAGTGCTTGTTCCAGGATAGTGACTGAAGTGCCTCTCATGTTTGTTACTCCTTCCTGTCTTTCCTCACCTCCTCTGCTCTCTGCGGGTAGTTGGAAGGCACCGCCGTGGGTCCCAACTTCTTTTTTTTTTTTTTCTCCATCTGTTGTTTCTATGTCTAGATTTCTTTTTCGCAAGCACTAAGTGATATAACTGTGGGAACGGATTTTTGAAAAATTCAAACTCAAAACTATAACTATATGCACTCTCTCTGTAGGTGGTTGGCGGGTGCTCTGGTGTGGTCTGCTTCTTCTTTCCTTTCAAACATCTATCGTCTTTATCTCCCCTCCTTCTTTTTTGTGCACTTGTATGACCTTATTGTGTTGCAAGTACGGTAAAACTCTTACTAAAACTAAACTATCTCCGCTCCTTTTTTTGTCTTTGTTACTTTCTTGTAACACCTCTAATCTTCGGCACTTATATGACTTTATTGTGTTGCAAGTGCCGTAAAACAGTTACTGAAACAAAGCACTCTCTCTGCAGCGTCTGGAGCAAGTGGCGGATGAGTTGCTGGGGAAATCAACGTTTGTGGGCTGGCCCCACATTCATGAAGCCAAAGTCATTGGAGTGGCCAACGAGTCTTTCAGGTGGTTCATACTTGTTGATACATTATAATATTCATGGTTTTCCTTGTTTGAGATTGTGTATGATTATTCGTCCTTATCTCCCCTTCTTCTTTTTTATATTTGTTACTCTCTTGTAACACCTCTAATCTTCTGGCACTTATATGACCGTATGCAGTTGAAAGCGTCGTAAAACCTCTACTAAAACAAACAAGATTATTCGGTGAATTTGTAAGACTACAAGTCTGGTCGTAATGGATTGTTGTGGTCGCTCACAAGATGTTCGCAGTACATGGGCTTTACTGTAGTGAGGATGTTGGATCTTAATAAATGCTCACAAATAGCCTATCCTTCATATTAATAAGCTTTTAACGTTATCTTTCATTATATTTGTTCTGTTCCTATGTCTGGATGAAAATAGTCTGTGTGTGTGTGTGTGTGTGTGTGTGTGTGTGTGGGCAATAATGTATATTGCATGAGAAGAAGGAAGTAGTAAGAAAGGTTTTTGAAAAAATGGGTATTCCAATGTAAAGCGCATTGAGCTACTTTTTTTGGAAATGCGCTATATAAATGTTATATATTATTATTATTATTATTATTATTATTATTATTATTATTAAGTATGTAAGTGCGCTAAAGGAAAATGGGTTGTGGTCTCTTGATTTTTTATCAGGATTTTATTGTTTTAGCATTTTGCTGTTTCACAACTTCTAGCGTTTGTTCTTTCTTGTTTTCTCTAATGTGTGAAAATAAGAACGTTTGTCGCACCAATAATGGTTATATCCACGGAAATCAAGTTTCTACTGAAAAATATAAACACGTGAAGCATCGTGGTGAAATCAGGTGCTCGTCAAAATAAGGAAATTGAAGAAAACATTTTTTTGCTGATTTGACAATATTTTTTCGAATTTTTGTTTCTGGCTTCAACACACCTTTTGTCTGTAGAATACAAATTTATGTCTGGATTGTGTGGAAAAGCGTTGATTCAAGGCGCAAACATTTTTTATTTTAATTTCCTGAGGACTCTCAAGTTACGGAAATTACTCAACTTTGGCGGCCATTTTTATCGATCAATTTGCCTCCGAAATCAGGTGACATCCACTTTCTTCAATCAGAAATACCTCAACTTCTATTCAAGACAGTGGGTATTTTTTCCATCGAACACAAGAGAAATAAATGAGCTTGAAGATGATGCCATTCACTCAGCTTGCCCAGAAATTGACGAGTGCTTGATTCCGTCGTGCTGAGACACATGTGTTAGTTGTTCAATATTAAATGAGGTTTTCGTTGCTTCCCGGCAGGATTGAATTGATTGAAGACTCTCCAAAGAAAGGAGCGGACAAGAGGGAGCCGATTTATTCTTTCAGCAAAAAGCCGCTGAGTGACGACGAAGCTTCGATCGTGTACAGAGAGTCCAGTCATATTAGAGAGAGGTAAGTCGCTTCCTCACTACAAAAAGACATGAATATTTGTGAGGCTTGCCGACAAAATGAGTTACTTTTCCCGATCCACAAATGGGGAGATGGGCCAAAAAATCAACCCTAGGGTCAAATTAATAGATTTTCTATTGATGCCATATTCTTTAAGTATAACATGCCTTTTGTTATTTTAAACTTATAAATTGTAAAAACTTTACCTATAAGCGTGATGTATCTATTTCCACAGGGCTCAAATCCGAGAAGCAGCTCATTTTGTCAGCACACTTCTCATTTATTTGTTTTTTTCCCCGTTCCCATGTCCTTTATTTTTTTCTAGAAAAACAGTTATTCCACGTATGTTTCCTGTTTCACCCAATATTATCTGTGTCTATTAACAGCCTTTTTGTTTGAGAATGTTACTTGCCAAATTTGGAGTTAATTTCACAAAATCCCAGTGACATCCCTGAAAAGACATCTCATGTTTCAGATTCTCTGCCCTGTTGTTTCAGATTTCGTGAAGTTCACTCGTTTCAATAAATATTTGATGTTCAATGCTACGTTTTGTCTGTATTTTGAGATTAACATTCTCTAGCTTTGGTTCCAATCCTCAGTTTCTAAATTTCAGGTTTGATGTCCTAGTTATGACATAGACTGAGTACTAATACTTGGATAGTGTCTCTAGTGACTAATATATTCAAATGTTAAACAGAACAGGGAAAAAAAGACCATGGTCTCGTAAATTTTTAGCTTTACTTGTGAAAGGGCTATTTTATGCCCTATCATTGCATTATGTGTATATTTTTTTTAATCTTCTGGCGCTCATATGACCTTATGCAGTTGCGAGCGCCGTAAAACCTCTGCTAAAACTAAAAACCAGAACAGGGAAGCTCAACTTTATCTTGCACATTACCACAAAAATGAAGTATTTTGTGACCACCTTCCATGCAGCGAAGTTGCTTTATTTTTGAGAATGCATAAGTAATGTGCTCTAGAAACTGAACTTGTTCTGTTTTTTGTTATTTTCCTTGCAGGCAAGTTGAGAGATTTGGTATTGATGTTGGGAAGACGGAGATTCTCGTCTATGCTTGTCCAGTCACGGGAAGAAAGTGAGTGTTGTTGATTGTAGATGGTATCTGTTGCAGCTTGCTGTAACACAACATTCGAGAGAGTCAGTTTCGTGGTTTTCTTACGTTAATATTTACTTAAAGTTAGGGACAATAAATTTTCACTATTATGTCCTGTATGCTCATTGAAACTATTTTTGTTTTGGCAGACTGTTAGCAGCTTGTTCACAATAGAAGTTTATATCGTATGTGGTCTTCCTCTTGATCGTTTTGTTTCTTGCAGCTGTGATGTAGTTGGTTGAGAACTTGGCCAACTCAGAACTTTGCGATATGAATCTGAGTACGGTCTTAGCTTTTCGTGTCATTTTTCAAAGGCTTTTTTTTTTTTTTTTTTTTTTGGTAGTGTTCTCTATTATTATTGTTTTGGTTTTTTTGGTTGTGTTCTTTATTCTTTTTTTTTTAATTGGTTGCCCGCATTTCGTCTGAATAGAAAGACGTTTTACTACATTGTGTGGGTTGGGTTTTCGTGGCAACAATACTAAATTACAGGTGGACATGGAGCTTTTGAATGGTCAAGATGTGACAAGATTTTTTCTGCTGGAGTTGATCTCACTGGCCACAGCAGAAGCCACAAGTCATTTTGGCCTTTCATTCTCCTAATTCTTCTATGTCGTTTGAGAAATGTTCTCTTCTGCAGTTGTATTTGTGTGTGTTTGGCAGGTGCTCTGGTGTGGTTTGCTTCTTCTTTCCTATCAAACATCTATTGTCCTTATCTCTCCTCCCTCTTTTTTATGTTGGTTACTCTCTTGTAACACCTCTAATCTTCTGGCTCTCGTATGACTTTATGCAGTTGCGAGCGCTGTAAAACCTCTACTAAAACTTTAAAAAAAACAATTTGTCTTTGTCATTATCAGACATTGACGGAGGAGACAAAATATTATTATTGTCATTATTATTATTACTTACATATCTAACGTCTTTACTTTGTGTTTGTGTTTTCACCTCAGCTACACATTTGGGAACGGTGGTCTGATCACCTTGGAGAAACAGTTTGCCCAGAAGCCAACAGCCTTTGCTCATCAAATGACGATACAGGTAGGCTTTTGTGTAGGTCAGCTGTGCTGTGTGGGTGGTCGGCGGGTGCTCTGGTGTGGTATGCTCCTTCTTTCCTATCAAATGTCTATCGTCCTGTATGTTTGTTACTCTCTTGTAACACCTCTAACCTTCGGCACTTATATAACCTTATTGTGTTGCAAGTGCCGTAAAACTCCTACCAAAACTAACGAACTGCGCTGAATACTAATTTTAATGCAGCCAACATTGAGTCTCCAGCCACCAAAATGAAACAGCTGAGTTGGGTCAGATATTGATTCCTTTATGTCATTGTTCAATAGTTTGGGTCAGATATTGATTCCTTTATGCCATTGTTCAAACTAGTTTCAGCCATGCTGCAGTAGGTTATATTAGTCATTTTTAGCATCTCCCCAAAGAGCAATAAGCTATACTGAATGTATCATGATTCATTTTATGTAGTAATTGTAGGAACTATTCAAAATTCGAAGTAGTAACAGAATTGTACGTACCAATACTAATTCTTAAAATTAAATGTGGGTGGTTGGCAGGTGCTGTGGTGTGGTTTGCTCCTTCTTTCCTTTCAAACATCTATCGTCCTTATCTCTCCTTCGTCTTTTTTATGTTTGTTACTCCCTTGTAACACCTGTAATCTTCTGGCGCTCATATGACCGTATGCAGTTGCGAGCGCAGTGAAACCTCTACGAAAACTAACTTAGAATTTAATCATTTGAATTTAGTAGAATTTGTATGTCAATTTGAAACATTGCATTATCCCAAACTTACAGTACTTTGTTGTGTTACGGTCAGACGTCTTACGGTCAAACGTCTTACGGTCAAACGTCTTACGGTCAAACGTCTTACGGTCAAACGCTGCTTATTTCTCCCTCTTTTGTCTTAACTTCTTGGTCTCTTGCCAACTTCTTACATTTGCGATGTCATGTTCTTTTATATATATATACTTATTAAAAAGCTCTATTTTTTCCCCTCTCCTCAGGATCTTCAAGTGGAGGAAGCTGCTCACACAACGTTCAAAACCTTGGAAGAGGTTTTTCCAGAAGGATCCACAATTTTCATGTTAGGATTACCTCATTACGGAGCTCAGGGAAAGGTAATTCTTGTATTTTCAAAGACCCATTACCATGTTTGCCTTGCTTCATCGTGGGACTTATACGACAATGGAATTGTTGATTTCATGGGTGGTTGGCGGGTGCTCTGGCGTGGTTTGCTCCTTCTTTTTTTGTCAAACATCTGTCGTAATGATCTTGCCTCCTTCTTTTTTGTGTATGTTTCTCTCTAGTAACGCATGTATTCTTCGGCACTTATATGACCTTATTGTGTTGCGAGTGCCGAAAAACCTCTACTAAAAAAAAGAAAAAAGACCCATTACCATGTTTGCCTTGCTTCATTGTGGGGCTTACGACGAGGTAATTGTTGTTTTCTGAAATGCATCACCATGTTAGCATTACCTAAGTATTGGTGAGGTTCAGGACAAAGTAGTTTTGTATGTTTTGTCAGATGCTGTGCAGTCTGCTGAATGAGGAGGGGGGAGGGGGGTATGCTTGTGTTTGGGTTTTTCTTGAGTATGTAGATGAGTGGTTGGCAGGTGCTCTGGTGTGGTTTGCCTCTTCTTTCCTATCTAATATCTATCGTCCTTATCTCCCCTCCTTCTTTTTTGTGTTTGTTTCTCGTTTGTAACCCCTCCAATCTTGGGCGCTTACATGACCTTATAAAATTGTGTGCAAGGGCCGTAAAAAACTTACTAAAACTAAAACTTTCTTTCTTTTTTTCTTCCTTCTTATTTTTTTAAGGTTCGGGAGACATTGTCTTCTGAGGACCGGGTGAGAATCTCCCTGAGCGTGACTCAAGAGCCAGACTTTCAGATCCTTGCAAATCGAGTAAGTGTCGTGTCATGTGGTCGCTTTTATCTCTTTTCCATCCCAAGGCTCATATAGTAAAAGCCCTTGCCATCAAAGGCAAAGACGTTTTGGGGAAAGTCCAAAGAAACTGAGTGGTAAACATCGCCGATGGGTGAGATGTGATGGAAAAGTGTTAAGGACAAGCGGGCTAACCCAGATTTCGGGGCTCTCCAAAAATCTTGACCTACATCAAAAGTGGGCATTGCCCTACCTATAGGACAAGTTTGGTTTCATTGGTGTGTATATTTGTTTTGTTATAGAGAAAACTCTCCTTGTCTTTTAAAGAAACTGAACAAGGATCCAACAACTGTACCTTCGATTTTCTCAAAGCAGCATTTTTCGGGATAGCCCGATTGTCCTTAAAAGTGATCATTTGTTGTTGAGTAAGGCTTGATGTTTTCAGGTTTTCCTCTCGTCTTGACAATGGGTGGTCTTGTAACATGAACGATCAATTTCAAGTCTGTTTTTCTCCTCCCCACAGGGTCGCTACGACATGTACATGCCGGCGCACGCCAGCGCGGTCCAGCTGGGTGTGCACACTCACCTGTTGTCGCGCATCACGGGCTCGGTGTTTGTGGAGAAAGGCGGGCCCAAGGGGGGTCGCGCCAACGTGGGGCTCAACCTCAAGTTCACCAAGCGGCGGGAGGAGGTGCCTGGCTACACCAGCTACAAGCAGGACCACGGCTGGACCTACAGCCAGAAGTGTGTGGACCTGGTCAAGGACTATCTTTCCAAGTGAGTTGTTTGTGAAATGTTACAGATGAGATGTCAGCTGGAGGGTAGATCAGCTGCTATGATTATGTTGTCAGTTTATAGATCTTATGAAGGATTATCTTGTGAAACGTTGTAGTTGAGATGTTAGCAGGGGGGGGGGGTAGATCAGCTACTATGGCTATGTTGTTAGTTTAAAGATCTTATGAAAGACTATCTTGCCAAGTGAGTTGCTTGTGAAATGTTGTAGTTGAGAGCTGCACTTCAAACATTGGAAGAATTAGCCATGAAAGGAGCTGCAAGAAGACAACCTTGAGATCATCGTAAGCTAAATTGACCGTCTGCACAGACAAAAAAAAAATCCATAGGTAGTAGAGAAGTTAAAAGGAGGGTAGATCAGTTGCTTTGGTTATGTTGTCAGTTTATACGTCTGTTTTTGTTTTAGTAGAGTTCTTACGGCGCTCGCAACTGCATAAGGTCACATGAGCGCCAAGGGGTGGATGTCAATAGAGAAGTCCTTTCAGGGAATCAGACTTACTCTGCTCACCTCTCTAGCTTCTACAGCACAAAGTCTGCTTCGACTATCAAGGCACCCGGGAAATAGCGGGTCACAAGAGAGTGACAAACATACAAAAGAAGTAGAGAAAAAAATGACGATAGTAAGGATTAGGAGAGAAAAAGCAGCAGTTCCCTGTTGCAGTTCAGGCACAGTTATGAGCATGACATCGATGAATCAGCCCATTTACAATTACAATTCTACTGTGCATAAGAGCTCGAGATGTTAATGCCCCACTTTTGAATGGCCTAAAGACACTTCAGTCAGTAGCACCGCCCCCCGGGGGGGGGGGGGGTAGTGAGTTGTTTGTGGAATGTTTTAGTTGAGATGTTAGGGGAGGGCGGGGGGGTAGATCAGTTACTATGATTATGTTGTCAGTTTATAGATCTTATGAAGGACTATCTTGCCGAGTGAGTTGTTTGTGGAATGGTTTAGTTGAGATGATAGGGGGGGGGGGTAGATCAGTTACTATGATTATGTTGTCAGTTTATAGGTCTTATGAAGGACCATCTTGCCGAGTGAGTTGTTCGTGGAACGTATCGTGTTAACATGTTAAAAGTTTTCCTTTTTTTTCTCCTCAGGTACTCAGACTTGTGGATGAGAATTGAAATGGCGAAAAAAGGCACGGATGTGTACTCTGAGGGTGACATCATCCCTGAAGATGGGTGAGTTTTTTTCTGTCTCTTAACACTTTGCCGTCACATCTCGCCGATCGACAATGTTTACCACCCAGCTTCTTTGGATTTTCCCCATAATGCCTTTGCCTTTGGTGACAAGTGTTTCTACTTTATGTGCCTTGTGAATGCAAAGTGTGAAACAGTATTGTTGATCATTCACTTTTAGTGTACGAAAAACTATTCTCCTCTGTGCACAGCCAACTTTGTCATCCTTTTTATTTTTGTCATCCGTGTTTTTTTTTCAGCGTTACAAATTTCGCTATAACGCCGTTTCTGTTTATGATGTATTGTATTGGCACAAGATAAAAAACAGATGAGAAATGAACATTGTATGCAATAGAAAGGCAGTTTGATGGTAGATAAAAAGGATTTGCTGTGGTTTCCTAGTGTTATTGAAAGGGAGGAGTACAGACTGGATTGAAACAGGTGTGTAAATTGGGACCTAAAGAGAGGTAGAGAAATTGAACTAAAAGGGAAATGTGTAAATTGTGGTAAAGGGGGGAAGTGTGTAAATTTGACCAAACGGGGAGTGTGTAAATTTGACAAAAGGGGTGGTGTGTAGACTGAATTGATTGAAAGGGAGATGTGTAAACTGGACTGAAAGGGAGATGTGTAAACTGGATTGAAAAGGATGGGTGTAAATTGGATTCTGGTGGATGTCGGACACCTCTGCAGGTACCACGTTTCTGTTTTACGCCATTTCTGTTTTACGCCATTTCTGTTTTTTTCCAGTTCCTACACCCTAGCGGACGTCCTGAAATATTTGGATGAGCTCCCTTGTGTCAAGGCACCACGCATGAAGTTTGGAACACAGATCCTCAGCGAGACAGAGGTGGCCATCATTGAGCAGACAACGGTAGGTCTTTGCAAGTTATGAAAGGTCACTCTTGCTTGTTTCGTATGCTGCGTCCTATTTCAAAAGGGTTGAAGCGACTTTCTTACTCCCTATTTGTTCTGGTGAAAGTTAACTCTTTAAACCCCATCAGACGCCGGTAGTGTCTGACACTAATGACAACTGTTGGGTTTCATTTAGTGCTAGCTTCTTCTTGTTTTTCAGAACTATTCCCGATCCAAGTTTTTTAGTAAAGACTGAGCCTTTGTTTTCGCTATTAAAAGTTGCAGGCAAGCTTTTGGGGTTATAATGAGACATAGTGCACCAGGTTTAGGTGACTGTAGAAAAACTCCAGGAAATGATGGAAAAAACTCAGGGTTTAAAGAGTTCATTTGGGATACACACACACGCCTCTACCCACCCATTCTTGAAAGTGTAATAGTGTTTTTCATGCACGACATTAGCAAACCGAATGTGACCCATAGAGAGTGGAGACACTGGAAATGCACAGCAAGTCAAGTAAGCTCTGAATGACGTGGGCTAAAGTTTACTTTTACCAAATCCTTAAAGTGAAAAGCTTTACTGTAATGCATTTGGTATCTAAGCTCTGTGTCCACTTGTTGCATTTATGTTGGAGATGGATGTCAGAGGCCCCATGACCTCTTTAACACTTTGCGGTCACTTGCTGCAATAATGCGGCAGTGAAAAATGGTCGCTTTTAAGAACAAGCGGGCAATCCCGAAAAATGCTGTTTTGAGAAAATCATAGGTAAAGTTTTTTTACCCTTGTTCACTTTCTTTAAAAGAAAAGGAGAGTCTTCTCTATAGCCAAACAAATATATACACACCAATGAGACCAAACTTGTCCTGTAGGTAGGACAGTGCCCACTTTTGGTGAAGGTCAAGACTTCTGGAAACCCCCGAAATCTGGGTTAGCCCGCTTGTCCTTAAAAGCGACCAATTATTAGTTCTGGTCACGCTAGGCAGTTCTGTGACAGGCCTGAGAAGTCTGTTGCAGTCACTCTCCTGGCTGGGTGTCCTGATGGGGGTATTTTGTACTGCTGGCTGTGTGACTGCGAAGTGTTAAATAACCCAACAATGTGTTACTGGGGTGTTTAATCTATTTCATACTGTCTATGTATTCCCTTTTTTGTTTTGTTTTTGTTGGTGTGTATTTCGAGTTGGTTTGAGGACGCTCTTGTTAGGTCCAGCTGCTTTTCTTTCCTTTCGTTGTTTCTGTCAAGCTGTCTTACTTCTTCAGTTGATTACTTGATTACTTGATCCTGGAAACAACATCCTAGCACTCCAGTCGTTGCCATACGTGCTCCGCTCCCTGCTCCAATATCCACCCCAGAGCCCATCTGCTGATCGTTGCAGTGTTTATTTGGTTAATAAATTACTTCTTCACCGCACCAGAGAACCGTTCTTGTGTCTTGATGACCATTGTTATTTCTTCATCATGTTTCTTATTACTCGCTCAAACAAAGCTTTTTTATTTCTTAACCTGTGTTTTCAAATGACTTTCTTTCAACTTATTCACTTTGACCCACTATGCTTACACGTGTTGTTTTTGTACAATGTACAGGAGGCGTTGAGCAAGAATGCAGATATTGTGAAAATCAAAGTGAAACCACGCCTGCTGTTCAGGGTAAGGATGTTCTGATGGTTTTTTGTGTTTCACTTGTTAGTTTAGTAAGAGTTTAGTAGGTGTAAAGGGTTTTACGGCGCTCGCAACTGCGTAAGGTCATATGAGCGCACGAAACACAAGTTATTTACTTTCGCAAAAGTTCACTGCATGATTGGTTAACTATTAGACTTTAAAATGCTAAAATATTAAAATTCAGTGTAAATATATTTGCGATTTAAAACAACTCTTAAAAGTAACAATAAAAATTTTAAATAGTACGATTTCACTTTACAATTTGCCATAAAGGCCAATGGCCTTCATAAAATTCAAAATTTTGCTGGAACTAACGACGGAAAAAATGTCTTGCAATTTCTTGCATTTATAATATTTCCTTCGGATCTCTCCAAAGTCTAGACATTCGGTTAAGATGTGTCTAATGGTAAAATCTGTGTCGCATCCGAAGTAAGAGTTTTACAGCACTGGCAACTATATAGAGTATAAAAGGTGGCAGTGTTTCTTTGAGGTGTTTTTGTTTTTCCAACTGGCAAAACACAAGGACAAATATTTTTTTTCGGTCAAATGTGTTTCATGGTTGTTGTTTTTAATCTATTCTGTATTTTTTCTTTGTTGTCTCCTTAAGGGAATTATTTTCTCTATCTTTAAATGAATGCCAGAGAAAAATGATGATAATAATAAATTGCATTTATATAAAACCCATGTTTATCTTGATGAGATGCTTAATGTGCGTTACAATAAAATAGGCAGGGCAGTTGGTTCCTGTATGCTTTGTGAGGAAACCCCCCCCCCCGCCTTATATTTAAGACTGGACGCACTATCGAGAATACAATTGATAGATGTGGGTGGTCGGCGTGTGCCCCTAAATGATCTAAACTGTGTCACTAGGGGTGTAAAAACAGAAACAAAATTATTTTTAAAAATTACTGTTTCTGTCTTGTCTGTCTTGCTGCTTCCCAGCACGAAGTGACAGTTCTTGTATCAACGTTCTTTACTCATAACTCAAACTTCCCTCTCTGTGGGTGATGCTACTGACTGAAGTGTCTTTAGGCCATTCCCAAAGGGGGAACATTAACATTTTGAGTTTTTATGCACAGTAGAATTGTAATTGTAAATGGGCTGATTCATCAATGTCATTTTCATAACTGCCTGAACTGCAACAGGAAACTGCTGCTTTTTCTTTCCTAATCCTTACTATCACCATTTTTCCCTCTACGTCTTTTGTATGTTTGTCACACTCTTGTGACCCGCTATTTCCGGGGTGCCTTGATAGTCGAAGCAGACCTTGTGCTGTTGAAGCTAGAGAGGTGAGCAGAGTAAGCTTGATTCCCTGTAAGGACTTCTCTGTTGACATCCACCCCTTGGCGCTCATATTATGACCTTATGCAGTTGTGAGCGCTGTAAAACCTCTACTAAAACTCTCTCTCTCTCTCCCTCCTTTCTCCAGTCGCTGCCGAACCAAGGCTCTCTGGTCCCGGACCCCGGTGCAGACTTCCTGCTGTACGACCGTGTGGTGGTGGTCAAGAACGGCTACTCGGTGCCCTTTGGCAAACGCGGCACGGTGATAGGTCTGCCGTCCCCCGAGGAGGAAGAGACGACCAACGCTCACACGGTCTACGACGTGGTGTTTGACGAGCCCTTTGCCGGGGGGATCAGTCTCAGGTGAGTGGGTGGTTGGCGGGTGCTTTGGTGTGGTTTGATCCTTCTTTCCTATCAAATATCTCAATTGCTTAGTGGAAGGCTCTGCCATTCACCGTTTTGAATAGTGACGTATAACGTCTTTCGCCGAGCAGTTGGTCTGTCTCCTCCAACTTTTCTTTGTATTTTACTCTCTTGTATCGCCTCAAATCTTCAGCACTTATATGACCTGTTTGTGAGTGGGTGGTTGGCGGTTGCTCTGGTGTGGTTTGCTCCTTCTTTACTATCAAACATCTATCGTTCTTATCTCCCCTCCTTCTTTTTTTGTGTTTGTTACTCCCTTGTAACACCTCTAATCTTCAGCACTTATATGACCTTATTGTGTTGCAAGTGCCTCTTAACTCCTACTAAAAATTTTTTTTAAAAGCTTTAATAAAACTTGGCAGGCCTCTAATAGTTGTGGGAGAAGCAAGGAAGGGGTTAATTTTCTTGTTTCTGAACTCTGCTCATGGCTGCAGGGACAGTTATGTGCCTTTGTCTTCTTGCAGTTTTGAAATCTATTGACAATGTTGTATTGTTTTTTGCTGTTTTTTGTGGGTTTTTTTGGTGGTGTTTGAAATCTATTGAAAGGTTTTTCTTGTTTTTTACTGGTGGGAAAAAACAACTTTATGTTGTAAAAGAAATAAACAAATGTCTGTGTCCTGAAAACCACAGCCCACCTATTCATATGTTCCCACTGAGCTGGCAAGAGTTTTTGGTTTCACACATTGCTTCGGGGTGGTTGGCAGGTGTGCTGGTGCCTCTGTGCCCCTCTCTCTTCTCATTCAGTGCCTGAAATCTGAGCTGGTGTGGTCTGCTCCTTCATTTTTTAAACTCAGTTTTCTTTAGCTCATTGTTGAGTTTTTAGGCCTTTTATCCACTAAGATCAGTTCTTTCGGAGATTAAAGTGGTACTTGTTGGAGACCCAACCCCTTGAAATATCAAAAGTGTTGAGAAAGGGGCGCAAAGCTCTGGTCATACCGCAATAGACAACCGATGAAATAATGCCGTGATGTAGGTAGGTCATGTGAGTTAATTGAGACCATAACAGACAACCGATAGAAGAATGCAGTGATGTAGGTAGGTCTTGTGAGTTAATTGAGACCGTAACAGACAACCGATAGAAGAATGCAGTGTTGTAGGCAGGTCTTGTGAGTTAATTGAGACCGTAACAGACAACCGGTGAAATAATGCAGTGATGTAGGTAGGTCTTGTGAGTTAATTGAGTGTTGGGAGAGTCACTACAGTGACCGTTAAACTGAAAATGCCGTAAAGTTAGGTGCCCTTATTTCCTTACTTATTTACCTGGAACATTATATTTGTTCAGGTCACCAAGAGCAGGTTCTGTGATTGGTGATAGGTGGAGAGTTTTCATGAACTCGGTGACTGCTGGGGTAATAGTATAGATTGTAAAGCACATAGAGCTTGCTGTTGAGCGGGGATTTGCGCTATACAAATGCTATCTATTATTACTGGAATGGGTGGTGTGTGTATAATTTTACACGAACTCAGTTACTGGAATGGGTGGTGTGTGTATAATTTTACACGAACTCAGTTACTGGAATGGGTGGTGTGTGTATAATTTTACACTAACTCAATTACTGGAATGGGCGGTGTGTGTATAATATAATTTTACACGAACTCAGTTACTAGAATGGGCTGTGTGTGTAATTTTCAAGAACTCTTGCCAGTGAAAATCAGCTTGGACGTAAGAAATGACACAGGTCCGGCGTGAATGACTTTCTCAGCCCTTGTTTCACCAGATGCTCATCCAGCCGAGGTTACCGGGTGCCGGGGTCGGCGATGCTCAATGTCACTTTTGGAGAATTCCGTAAAAACACGAGAAAGATGGATGGTACAGACAAATCGAGCGTCTGGGCGTGAGTTTTACATTTCTTGTGTGTCTCCTTAGTTTTTTTTTGGGGGGGGGCTCTGTTGGTCAAGGTTTGAATGAGGCGTAAGTTTTTTTGTGTGGTCCAACTATTTTGATGATTTTGTTTTTTGGGGGGTCTTTTTTGGGTGGATGATGGGTGCTCTGGTGTGGTTTATTTCTTCTTTCCTGTGAAACGTCTATCGTTCGCGTCTCTCTGCCTTTTAAAAAAATTGTTACTTTTTTGTAACACCTCTAATCTTTGGCATTTATAAGACCTAATTGTGTTGCAAGTGCCGTAAAACTCTTACTAAATAAACATTTTGTTTAAAAAGCCTTTTTTTTTCTTTTGGTCTTTATTTTGTTTCATTTTATGTGCAATCTTATTAGCATTTGAAAGCATTCAGTTTATTTTCAGGGTATTCTCTATCTCTTAAGCATTCTTAAAATTATGTCAGGAAGGAAACATTTTATTTTGACGGGTTTTTTTGGTGTTTTTTAAAATTAATCATCAACTCACTGGGACCACGTCCACTATTGATTACTATATTGACTCGAGGGCTAGACTGAAGCTGCTCAAGTGGGTGGTTGGCGGGTGTTCTGGTGTGGTTTGCTCCTTCTTTCCCATCAAACATCTATCATCCTTATCTCCCCTCCTTCTTTTCTTGTGTTTGTTACTCTCTTGTAACACCTCTAATCTTCGGCACTTATATGACCTTATTGTGTTGCAAGTGCCCTAAAACTCTACTTACCAAAACTAAACCATTCACCTCCTGTAGGAAACAGACCGTTGGGAGGAAATCCAACGGCACCCTGGGCGGGGGCATGAGCCATCACCACGGCTTCAACAACAACAACACGCTGGGCGGGGGACGAGGCGGGGCACGAGGCGGGGCCAACGACCGCGCTGGGCCGTACAAAGGTCGCGCCGGTGCGGGCTCACAGCCCCCGATGATCCCGCCAGCTAACGTAGCCCCACAGCCTCAGGTCCCACCCCACCTCATGCGTCAGCCCGTGGCTTGGGACGACCGCAAGCAGCCCATGTTTGGCCAGATCTTTTCTGCCGGAGGTCGCTATCTCCAGGTGAGTCTTTGTTTTATTGAAGGTCGCGATCTGCAGGTGAGTCTTTTTTTTTTATTGGAGGTCGCTATCTCCAGGTGAGTCTTTGTGCATTGGAGGTGGCTGTGAGTGGTTGGCGGGTGCTCTGGTGTGGTTCGCTTCTTCTTTCCTATCAAACATCTATCGTCCTTATCTCCACTTCTTCTTTTTTATGTTTGTTACTCTCTTGTAACACCTCTAATCTTCGGCACGTATATGACCTTATTGTGCTGCAAGTGTCTTAAAACACTTACTAAAACTAAAACAATCTTTGTTTTCAGAATGAGAATCAGCTGAAGTATGTCACGCCCAAAGTGCAGACACCTCCGCAGACTGCCAGCCGGGCCACCGTAGCTTCACTCGTAAGTCCAAAGTTTACAGGTTGTTTTACAGTCCATCTTCTTCTCAGTCGCATCACGCTCCATGGGTGGTTGGTGGGTAATCTGGTGTGGTTTGCTCCTTCCTTCCCATCAAACATCCATCGTCCTTATCTTTCGTCTAATCTTCGGCACTCATATGACTTTGTGTTGCAAGTGCTGTAAAACTTAGTGAAACAAAACTTAACTCTTTATCTCCCAGGGGGGGAACCCACCACACGGGTTCCTTTTTTGGTGCGAAATCTAAAAAGGACAAAAACGTCGTTAAATGGGTCTTTAAATTGAAACTAGCAAACCTATTTTGATAATTCTCCATCTCATAAATGAGCTTCCGGTATAAGAGACTTGTTTTCGGCAATTGCCGAAAAGTAATTTAATGTCGAAGTCATCATAAAGGAATGTGCTCGAGCCGCTGCACAATGGTTCCGATCGCGAGCCGCTGGGAGCGGCTTGCCGGAGATAAAGAGTTACGTCTTCAATTTCTGTGGTCAAATGAATGAAAGATTAACTCATGAGGTGTTTTTTTTGGTGTATTTTTCTGTAGCCATCAAAGGACTCGAGTAGCAGTACAGACAATTCTGACTTTGAGAAAATGTGGAAGGAACTCCAGCGACATCAGGTTAGACCTTTTTTTTTTTTTCCCAATTTCCCAAGTTCAGTTGTTTGTTGAGACAGTGGGTGGTTGGCGGGTGCTTTTGTGTGGTTTGCTTCTTCTTTCCTATCAAACATCTATCGTCCTTATCTCCTCTTCTTCTTTTTTAAGTTTGTTACTCTCTTGTAACACCTCTAATCTTCGTCACTTATATGACCTAATTGTGTTGCAAATTCTTTTTATAACAGAGGGTGGGAGCTATTTTAAAATATGGGCTAATTCATTTATTTTTTATTCCTCATACAGCAAACGAAGAGTGGGAAGGTTGCAGGGCCGCCACTGGTCGGCAGATCTGACGGGCAACCACCGCAGACACATCCGACGACCTTGAGAGAAGCCGGTGGACCAGCCACCTCCTTGGCCCCACCCCCCTCCTCCTCCTCCTCCTCTTCCTCTGTCTCGTTGTCCTCCTCCTCTGCGTCCTTCTCGACAGCAGCCCAGTCCAACAAACCGCAGACCCAGCCGGCAGACGCGGGCACATTGACCAACTCGGTACAGAATTTGTTTGAGAACGCGTCCAAGGTCAGGGGAAATGCTGCGGCTGCGGACAGCCTCCAGAAGACGTCTACAGTCGACGCTGACCAGTTCCTGGCCATGTTTAACACTTTAGGGGTAAGGAGGCGGGCTAGTTTTTGGGTGGTGTTTTTTTTTTTTCTCCTTTTTAAGAATGTGGTTGAAAGTTTGGTTTTATGCTCCCCGTTTTGCAATAAAATAAAATAAAGTCACAAGGTGGGTGATTGGCGGGTGCTCTGGTCTGGTTTGCTTCTTCTTTCTTATCGAACATCTATCGTCCTTTAATATCTCCCCTTCTTCTTTTTTATGTTTGTTACTCTCTTGTAACACCTCTATAATCTTCTGGCGCTCATATGACCTTATGCAGTTGCGAGTGCCGTAGAACCTCTACTAAAACCAAAAAATTCACAAGTTATACTTAATGCTAGGGATGGGTAGAAAGTTGTTTGTTTTTTTACACTGTGCATATACTTACCTATTACTGAATATTTTCCTTAACCTTTTATAATTGTTCTGTTTTTTTCTTTTGGGAGGGGGGGGGGGGGGAGCTAACTTGGTTTGTTTACTCTGCCATGGAAAAAACGACGGAAAAGTCAAACCTCGTACAAACTTTTTCTTTCAGATGCACAGCAATCAGACAGGAAACAAACCAGAGCCTGGGACTGCAGCGCCGGCGACCGCCGTGGACTCGGGGCCGGCCCCACCGTCAAAGGTGAGGAACTCGGCTGTTGTTGCTTGGGATGTGGCAATTTTGCATAGTTTTTTTTTCATTTCGTAGGCCTATTTGTCCTTTCATTTTCAAGAATTGCCTCATCTGAAAGCCAGCAAGGAGGATAGTTAAAGGGCACTACTCTTTCTACAAACACCCCCCCCCCCCCCAAATCTTTAGTATTTTTTCTCACGTTGTATGTTAATGTTCTGGTGTATATTCATCCAAAATTCCCCTCAATGGATCAATCAAGTTTCTCTTACCGTATCTTATTCCTTATCTTATTGCTCTTTCTTTCCTATCGGGCATCTATCATCCTTTGCTCTCCTTCTTTTTTTGTGTATATTACTCTCTTTTAGCATGTATTTTCTTCGGCACTTACATGACCTTATTGTGTTGCAAGTGCCGTAAAACTCTTACTTATTAAAACTAAAATCTATCTTATTCTAGGCGGATGAGGCTCTGAAGCAGCTGCTGAAAATTGGAGTGGGCCCCTCGCCGTTCGCCACGAGTCCGAGAAACGTGAGTCCTCTCGAACCAGCCCAGATCTCGTCCCTTCCACCCGCACCCCAGTCGGCGCTGTCAGCTCAAGCCCTCGAGTCCGCGGCCAAGTCGCCCGTGGGTGACGGGCCTGTTGCCAACCCCGAGGATCCCTCGGCGACGGAAGCAGGAGGAGCGTCGGGGACGTCTGTTCAGTACGGCCGGCAGGTGTCGCTACAAGCGCTGTTTGAAGAAGGTAGGGACTATTTGTAGAGACTAGAGGGACTGTTTGAAGAAGGTAGGGACTATTTGTGGAGACTAGAGGGAGAAGGTAGGGACTATTTGTAGAGACTAGAGGGACTGTTTGAAGAAGGTAGGGACTATTTGTGGAGACTAGAGGGACCGTTTGAAGAAGGTAGGGACTATTTGTGGAGACTAGAGGGACCGTTTGAAGAAGGTAGGGACTATTTGTGGAGACTAGGGGGACCGTTTGAAGAAGGTAGGGACTATTTGTGGAGACTTGAGGGACTTGGTTTTGGGGGGTTTTGTTGATGTTGATGGTGATTACTTTTCCTGCAGCTGGTTTTTATTGGTTTTGTTTTGTTTTTTTCTTTCCTCTCTTTGTGTCCCCAAATTAGCGGACAGGCAGCAGAAGGCCCAGGTGAGAGGCCCGCTTCTTCCGCAGCCGGACGCCATCCTCAGAGGGAGGAACGTCAGGCCAGGGGACCCTAGGTGAGGTTCATGTCTGGCATTTCTACCTGCGCACGGGACTTTTGGCATGTAGATAAACATATGTGTGTCACGACACGGTGGAATCTGGCGCTCGGCAATTTTAGGGCATATGGAGTTTTTGGTATCGTCTGAAGGCTGATTTTTTTGCCTTGCTTTCAATGAAATAAATATCCATCTATCTTGAATAGAACTCAAGGTATTTGTGCATGAAGGAAGTGAGGTCGCATGGTTTCAGTGGTAAAATTAACAAGAAAATGGCCGCCAAACTTTTGGTAACTCCAATAGCTAAAGAGCTAATGTGTTTTTATATGGACTTAAAAGAAGTTGAGAAAAAAAAATTAGACCTGCATGTTTGCCGACAATCGTCTGAAATCCGACAATCGCGACCCGACCCGCGAACTGGCCGATGCTATCGCTAGGCCCGCCTGTATCAGTCAATGTGCGTAGTGCGAGGCCTGGCCGACTGCCAGCGACCCCTTTTTCTCCCGTCGGCTTCGTCGGCACTTTCGTTTTTGTGCCGACCGCCGACGCGCGCACCGCCGACTGCCGACGTCGGCGTTTCCGACATAATTGTCGGAACCTGAGTAGAAATGCGAATACGAAAAAGGACGACAACCTAAATTATCTACTTTCAGTTTCGTGCTCGAGCGGCCATTTTGAATTTCGTTTGTTAACTAATTCAATTGTTCAGATCGTGTGGATTCATTCATCAAGTCCGACTCTCTTGTTCTAATAGAATCTAGATCTAGATCTAGATTTATATAGATCATTATAGACCTCAATGGAGGATTCATATTCCAATTCTATTGTGTCAAACCCTATCATAGGTTGTGCTGTAATATTAATGTTGGTAAAAATAAGCAATTCATCAGGTGCGTGAATTATTTATTTATTTAGATCTCTAGATCTAGAATCTAGATCTAGATCTAGATTCTAGACTCAGCTGAGTCCCTCTGTTCGGAATCGGATGCGGATTTCGAGTTCAAGGCCTATTCCTATTCACTTGTTCTACAAGATCTAGATTTAGATCTACAGTCTAGATCTAGATCTAGATTTATTTAGATTACTAGATCTATATGGAGGATTCATATATTCCAATTCTATTGTGTTATTGTATCAAACCCTATAGCAATGTAGATGTAAGCCATATAGATCTAGAATCTAGATCTAGATCTATAAGCTCATTGTTTGTTTTGGAGTGTGGTTTTTTAATTTAATTTTTTTTTTCATATTTAGGACTTGTTTTGGCCTTTTTACATGAGGCCTGTAGCAGGTTCTTTTTGGGGGTAGGGTTAGGGTTAGGTCTCTTCTTTATTGTGTTTGTTGGGGTGGTCGCTCGTTACTCGGATTTCCTTCCTTATGACACCCACAAAGGCTTTTTTTTTGGGGGGGGGGGGGGTGCGCAAAATTTTCAGACAATCTGGTTGAGGCTCACATGCAGGTCTAAAAAATTTATTCTATAAAATTTCCAAACTGGCAGAAAAATGCCTCTTTCTCCTATTTCTGTATTTTGACGAGCGCCTGATTTCACCGCGCTGCTTCACATATATATATATAGGTGTGTACAAACACAGTCATGATCACGTAAGATACTGTCATGCAAACAGGCATGCGCACACATACACACACACATACACTCTAGCAAGCACACACATACATAACATTTATTGGGCATTTATACCTGCTTATACGGTTTCTAATTTGCAAAGAACGCATATACATACCTACGTATGGCTTAAGGTGTCAGTTACTTGACTAGACATAAACAGTGTGTAGCTGAGCCCCTGATCAAAACCAAAACTATATTTGTAATTGTTTTGGTTTTTTGGTTCTTTTTTTTTTTTTTTTTTTATATACTGTTTCTGACAAAAACAGTGTCTAGCTAATCCACTAATCAAAACCGAAACTGTAGAAGCATGGTGACAAATGACAAAATGAGCAATTTTTCCGATTCAAGCCTTAATTAAGGAAATGAATACTTCACGCTTAGAGGTGAAGGTTTCACAATTTATAAGTATGAAACAATAAAAGACAGGTTATAGAAGTTAAAGAATATGGCATCAGTAGAAAATGTACAAGTTTGACCATAGTTTTGATTATTGTCCAGTACCTCCATTATGTGCTGATTGCGAGAAGTAACTCATTTTGTCAGCACGCCTCACTCGCATATTTGCAATTGATCAGCTCATCTATGGGAGTCTACCACTTTATCAAAATTTTAATCAGCACTTAAAATGCTTTTGTTTCAGTCCAGCTTCAATCTGTAATTTCCGACATTCCCAATACAAATATTATTATGTTCTCTCAGTATCTATTATGTTCTCTCAGTATCGTTTATTCATGCTGTTCTGTTCTGTAAGAATTTATGACTGTGTGAATTCATCAATGTGTGCGAGGGTGTCTGGGTAAGCTTTGTGGGATTGTCTTTACTCAAGGATGTACTGGAGAGAGAGAGAGAGAGAGCCGGGGGGGGGGGGGGGGGGGGGGGCCTGTGCGCTGCATATGTTCTTTCTGTTATTGTACAGAGTTTTGAGCACTTCTTTTGGAAATGCGCTCTATAAATGCAATTTATTATTACCATCTCCTCCTCTCCCCCCCCCCGTTGTGCTACCAGACATTTCAAGCCAGGTGAAGATCACCTGTCGGGCCCGCCGCCATTACAGGCCAGCCACCAGCCACCCAGAGACCCGCTCACAGAGCTGGCCAACTTCTGCCGCGCCAACTTCAACCAGCCACCCAACTACGACTATCGGCTGCAGCCCAAACAGGTCTGTCTGAGCAGGCGCGGAGAACAGATAGTGGCAAAATTGTTTTTTAACCGTATCCGTACACCCTGGGGTCATTTTTGAATTCTTCACATTTTAGAAAACTTCTAGTACGAAGATCTCTTTGAAAATTTAAATATTTCTCGAAAAATTATTTTGACAGACTGCTATACAAAGCGTACGGATCGGATTAACGAGTAAATTTCCTCCTTGGAAAGTGGTGGCACAGAGTTCCCAACATTGTATGGATACGATAGTAAAACACGACGTACGGATAGGGTTAAATAGGAAAAGACCTTTTTTCCATGTGTTATTTTTGGGGGGAAATGCCAAAACGATGATCATTGATAATCAGTCCATAAGAAATCCTTTTAGGTAAAAGGTGTATTGCTATGATCTCTTATAATGCTGTGGAGGGGTTGTCAGGACAGGGATACACAATGTACTCACTGGGGTTGTCAGGACAGGGATACACAATGTACTCACTGGGGTTGTCAGGACAGGGATACACAATGTACTCACTGGGGTTGTCAGGACAGGGATACACAATGTACTCACTGGGGTTGTCAGGACAGGGATACACAATGTACTCACTGGGGTTGTCAGGACAGGGATACACAATGTACTCACTGGGGTTCAGACTGCAATGTGCAATAAGTGTGATGGATTTAAAAAAAAAAATTTTAAAGATTCTTCTGTTATTATTATTTAATTGGAAGGGAATACAGGCATGAACGCTGTAGAGGTGTTGGTGCTTACGTTTCTCATATTTCAACTGTTACTTTTCTTTTGAGAAGCACCCCTTAAAAAACTTGCTTGACTTTTTTTTATTTTGGAAAATGCTTGATTTAAAAAAAATTATTTTAGTTCTGTTCTGTTCAGATTGTTGATAGAGAATAACCAAATTGTTTGTATGTGGATTTAATTCTTTCACTGCCTCACCCATGGTCGTTCAAACTTTTTTTTCAAGATTATAAAGCAGTTCTAGCCGTGAAAGGGATAAGGACCAATCACTGTGTTACATTTAAAAATGAACTGACTTGTATCTCCTGGCGGCAGGGTTTACTTATATTGTACATACATTGAAGTTACTTAAGTTTTCATCCACCCTTTCGTTTGCTGTACCTTACCGCCTCCACAATCCTACCTAAGAGCAAGCACGTATTATTTTAGATAAGGCAGCGAAGGGGTTAATGTTCTTACTATGCTTTAAAAAAATTTCTTTTTTCCTGACTGCGGTCTGATTCCGTTTAAAAGGATTTTGTTTCTTCGGACCCTGATCAGATGACTTTCATCGCCAACGCCATCTTGCCCAACGGCCGCCGCTTCGAGGGTTCCCAGTGCAAGAGCAGAGAGGAGGCAGCAAGGAGTGCTGCGGGGATGGCCCTGCTTTGTCTTGTAAGTTCCATAGTTGGGGAGGGGGGGGGGAGGGAGGGGAATCATCATCATCCAGTGCCAGATCTGCGACAGACATCAGCGATCATTGTTCTCCATTCATTCCTTTGCTCGGATGCTCTCAAAAAAACTTTGTTTCCCTGATCTTTCCCTGTTATCCATTTGTTTAGGTTCCCCAAGTATGTTGCTCTGGGCCTACCCCTGCCTCGTTTGCCCTCAATTTTGACACTGAGAGCTAGATGTTCAAGAAGGGGGGGAGTAAGAAATAATAATAGATAGATAGATAGCATTTGTATGGCGCAAATTCCCGCTCAACAACAAGCTCTACGCGCTTCACAATCTATACTATTACCCCAGCAGACCTGAGAGCATTCTGAAACAATCTCAACTTTCAGGGAAGCATACAGTGCAAGCTGCCATTTATAGGCGCTAAAACACTAACATACTGACAAGATCTTTCACTGTCTATGGCTGGGTACCCTTTCCCCCCTAGGTAAAGTGGGGAAAATTTGTGTAAAGTGCCTTTCCCAAGGACACAACGTCGGGCCCGCGGCTCGAACCCCCGAACCCGCAACGAAATAGTGGAAAGGAAACAACCAGGAAAGGAAACAATTGATTCTGTATGAGTACTAGACAGTTTTTATGTATGCATAATCGATAACAACAACACTGGATTGATTCATGTATGCAATGACAGTTTATGACATGAATAAGACATTTCCGTATTTTCTCCGTTTTTACTTTTCGTAATCTGTTAAAAACTCAAATTTCAAGGGGGGCCCTCATCCTTAAGACGGGAATGAAAGCGCTGTTTAAAAAGTGTCTAAGGGTGATGCTCTGGCTATAAAATGAATATTTGAATGATGTTTTGTTGTTCTGCATCTGTTTCATTTCTTGTACCACCTATAAAATGTGCCTTCACATTTCACTAGCACTCTGCTCTATGTATTTATCCTTGTCAAGTGGGTGGTTGACGGGTGCTCTGGTGTGGTTTGCTTCTTCTTTCCTATCAAACATCTGTCGTCCTTTTCTCCCCTTCTTCTTTTTTATGTTTGTTACTCTCTTGTCAACACCTCTAATCTTCTGGTGCTCATATAACCTTGTGCTGTTGCGAGCGCCGTAAAATCTCTATGAAAACTTTAATAACCTAAAATAGTTTAGCTGATGACGTCACTCTACTACATTGTCACGGTCATAACAATAGCGTATTATCTAGATATATATAGATATCATATCGTGTTATCTTGCTTGGAGAAAAGACAGAAAAACCAGGGCTTTCCTAAGACGACCTAATGACTTTAAAAACGAAACTGAAAAAAACGTCTCATTATTTGGAATTTTTTTTTTTGCAAACGAAACAAGACCCTGCCTTTTTGAGGATATGAAAATAGAAACAATCATTAGAAAACTGGGGGGAAAATAATAATTTTTAAAAAATAAATGACATAAGCAATTGTGTTACGACTGTGATGATCCATATACTGGTAGTGTCTAAAGCACTCGCGTCCTAGCCTCGCCGCAGTCGTTTGCCGTCTTGTACGTGATGTACCTCATGTTGCAGAAGAGCAAGCAGAACACCGCCGGAGGGCCGCCCTTGATGCACCCAGGCTTCGTCGCCCCGCACAACGCCAACATGAATCGGTTCTACTCTCCCAATTCTGCGTTCAGCCCTATAGGAATGCCAGGTGCAGTAACTACCTCTTTTTTATTCAATTGTCCCATACCCCATTTACCCATACTATGCTTTACGTATACACATGTCCATTCATTTTTATGACGTGATATTTTTTATTAAAGTAATGTGCATTGAGCATTTTTTAGAAAATAGAAATGCACAGCCTAAATGCTATGTATTATTATTATTACCATTTGAATAAAAGCAACCTGGTGCGTGGTTGGCGGGTGCTCTTGCGCGGTTTGCTTTTTCTTTCCCATCAAACATCTAATGTCTTTATCTCCCCTATTTCTTTTTTGTGTTTGTTACTCTCTGGTAACACCTCTAATCTTCGGCACTCATATGACCTTATTGTGTTGCAAGTGCCGTTGAACACTTACTTAAAAAAAAAAAAAGAAAGTATTGTGCATTAAGCATTTTTTTGAAAATGGAAAAGCACAGTCTTAAATGTTATTCATTATTTTTACCATTTGAATAAAAGCAACGTGAACGCTCATTGTTCTTGTGTTTCTATTCCCGTGACCCGTTCAGGCGCCACCCCAGGCTTGCTGGCCCGACACCCCCCTCCCCCCTCCACCTCCCTCCTGCTGACGCCACAGCACTTCCTGAATCAACCCCCGCCGTCCATCCCCCCACTGCACCAGCAGATGTACCACCAACAGCAACAACAACAGCAGCAGCAGCAGCAGCAACAACACCAGCAGCAGTCACAGTTCCATCAACAACAACAACAACAACAACACCTTCACCATCAACAGCAGCAACAGCAGCAGCAGCAGCACATGAATCAGCAGAATTTTAACAAAGATGTGAGTGCGACGGCTTTTGTGTGTATGTTGTAACAGACCGAAGGGCTAGAACCCAAATGGCCGCTGGATCGGAAAAGTAAAGTAAAAGTAAAGTAAAGTGTATGTTGTATGATATGGGGTTAGCGGGTTGCTTATAAGGACAAGCAAGCCTTCCCAGATTTAGGGGGTTTCCAGAAATCTTGACCTAGACCAAAAGTGGGCATTGTGTATCTTAAATAAGATTGTCTGTACATCTTCAATAAGACTTTCTGTATATGTTCAATAAGATTGTCTGAATATCTTCACAAAAATTTTCTGTATATTTTCAATAAGATTGTCTGAATATCTTCACAAAAATTTTCTGTACATTTTCAATAAGATTGTCTGAATATCTTCACAAAAATTTTCTGTACATTTTCAATAAGATTGTCTGAATATCTTCAATAAAATTTTCTGTACATTTACTATCGGGTAGATATATCAGTAGCTGACTCGCCTCTCTGTGTCTTCCAAGCAGTGGCAAAGAGGCTCACAGGCTGTGTCACCAAGGTCGTTTCAGTCAGCAGCTGGCCCGGCTTCTACGTCTTCGATGATGTCATCCTCCACATCCCCTCGACCGACGATGGGCGCCGCGACCTTGACACAGACCAGTTCTGCCACAACATCACAGACGACGTCGTCTGTTAGCCAACAGTTTATTCCACTACAGGTAAAGAGCTAGACGCGCTCGTGTGACTTTATGCAGTTGCGAGCGCTGTAAAGTGCTTACCAGTGGGTGGTTGGCGGGTGCTCTGGTGTGGTTTACTCCTTCTTTCCTATCAAACATCTATCGTCCTTATCTCCCCTTCTTCTTTTTTATGTTTGTTACTCTCTTGTAACACCTCTATTCTTCCTGCGCTCATATGACCTTATGCAGTTGCGAGCGCCGTAAAGCCTCTGCTAAAACTACAACTAAGATCTGGCACTTGATGAAAGAGTTGCTGTGTCTTTATGGTTGCGACGCGACGGTATGTCTCCCCCCATAGGACTGACGTAGAAAGAGTGGAACGTATCGGCAGGTCGAAGCAGTTACTGAGTAATAATGTGTCTTCTTAGGTTTGGATTGGGTGTGTTTAGGGGGGGGGGGGGGTGGCAGATGGGGACTATTGTATAACATTATCATTACAAAAGGCCAGATTTGAAGCAGACTTCAGCAGTCATGGCTCCCCTGTTCATTTCTTTGCTTGGATACTCTCAGAAAGCTATATGCGAGGCGTGCCGACAAAATGAGTTACTCCTCGCAATCAGAGAATGGAGATATCTGCCAAAAATCGACTTATGGGTCATATTTTTGGATTCTAAACCAATGCCATTCTTTTCAAGTTTTACACGTCTTTTATCATTTCATACTAATGAATTGTAAAAACTCAACCTATAAATTTGACGCATCTATTTCCATCGGGCTAAAATCCGAGAAGTAACTCATTTTGTCAGCACTGCCTTCATCATCATCATCCGGTGCCTTGCCGACTGGCGTGGGCGATCATGGACCTCCACTTCCCCCTCCACTGCCTCACATATTCTAATAACTGTCTGGTCTTTCCCACTCGTGCGTCTGTTCAGCTTCTTTAAGTTGGTTGCCTTTAGTGCTGCCTTCTTTCGTCTTCCATTTTTCCAGTTAAAGCAAAATATCTTTTTTCAACCCAAAACACTTGACTTTCATGTGTCTTCAGCATTATCAATAAAAACATCAATGGTTTCAGCTTCTTCTTGTTAGGTTTTAGCAGTAAGAAGGTGGATGGTTGGCGGGTGCTCTGGTGTGGTTTGCTCCTTCTTTCCTATCAAACTTCTATCGTCCTTATCTCCCCTTCTTCTTTTTTATGTTTGTTACTCTCTTGTAACACCTCTAATTTTCTGGCGTTCATATGACCTTATGCAGTTGCGAGCGCCGGAAAACCTCTACTAAAACTAAAAGCACATTTATTTTTGTCTGTTCTCAGGTTACAAGGAAGCAGAAGACACCCCAGAAGAAGAAAGAGGGAGAGGAGGCGGGGCAGAAGACAGGGTCAGAGGGTACTGTGGGGTCTGTGAGCTCGGGCTCGGGCGCTACTGCTGAGAAAGTGATCACACCACAAAGAGAACAGGCTGCCGTGTCCGAGTCGGGCGGCGCTGCCCCGAGTGGGACTGTGAAAAACTGTCTAAACTCTGCCGCTGCGGTGGTAAACGCTGCTTCGCCTTCGAGCCAGGAACGTCAAACAGTTGTTGCTCAGCCCACACAGCCACCACCGCCGCCAGTCGTGGCCTCCTCTGTCTCGTCGCAAGCGGCGTCGACGCACGTCGCGTCACCGTCACCGCAAGGAGTCGCGGCGATCAAAGAGGACAAATCGGCAGATGTACAGCCCCCTAAACCGACCGCGGCCGCCGCGAAGAAGAAGAAGTCACGGCTAGCTGCCAACTTTATCAAACCGAAGTAGAATTGATGGAATGTGGACGCTCTCTGGCCTAGGAATGGAGAATCTCTGGTGGCCGACTTTCCTTTCCCTATACAGCTTCACTGATGTTGGCAAGACGAGGTTTGCGGGGGTTTGGTCCATGTATGTAAGTCTCAAAGCACATGGAATTTCAAAGCGTTTTCAAGGGAATAGTGCCACTTAGTTATACAGTCATTATGGAGATAAATTGGCTGAATTCAGTGGGGATGAAAGCAGGGGACGGAACATGATTAGACGGAAGGAAAGAGGTGAAAGGAGAGAATTTTAGAGGAGAAGATTTTCTGTCACAGTCAGGTTCGAATACGGGAATTATTGAATGAAAGACGAACACCGTACCTCTAGACCTCGAGATATATACAGATATTCAGTGTTGGCATTTTTCACCAAAGTTCTCCCATTTTTGCAAGGATACCTGTCTGCTAATTATACGCCAATTCCTTTGTGATATGGTATGCCTTTGTTTTGGGAATCTTACGTCGGCTCCAATTTTCTTTGGCCCTAGTTAAACAGTAGCCAAAATGTATCCCTCCATCGTGGCAATGTCTGGGAGCTCATTGTCCTCCTTCTCCTGTCTAGTAAATCGTGGCAATGTCTGGGAGCTCATTGTCCTCCTTCTCCTGTCTAGTAAATCGTGGCAATGTCTGGGAGCACATTATCCTCCTTCTCCTGTCTAGTAAATCGTGGCAATGTCTGGGAGCTCATTGTCCTCCTTCTCCTGTCTAGTAAATCGTGGCAATGTCTGGGAGCTCATTGTCCTCCTTCTCCTGTCTAGTAAATCGTGGCAATGTCTGGGAGCACATTGTCCTCCTTCTCCTGTCTAGTAAATCGTGGCAATGTCTGGGAGCACATTATCCTCCTTCTCCTGTCTAGTAAATCGTGGCAATGTCTGGGAGCACATTATCCTCCTTCTCCTGTCTAGTAAATCGTGGCAATGTCTGGGAGCACATTATCCTCCTTCTCCTGTCTAGTAAATCGTGGCAATGTCTGGGAGCACATTATCCTCCTTCTCCTGTCTAGTAAATCGTGGCAATGTCTGGGAGCACATTATCCTCCTTCTCCTGTCTAGTAAATCGTGGCAATGTCTGGGAGCACATTATCCTCCTTCTCCTGTCTAGTAAATCGTGGCAATGTCTGGGAGCACATTATCCTCCTTCTCCTGTCTAGTAAATCGTGGCAATGTCTGGGAGCACATTATCCTCCTTCTCCTGTCTAGTAAATCGTGGCAATGTCTGGGAGCACATTATCCTCCTCCTCCTGTCTAGTAAATCGTGGCAATGTCTGGGAGCACATTATCCTCCTTCTCCTGTCTAGTAAATCGTGGCAATGTCTGGGAGCACATTATCCTCCTTCTCCTGTCTAGTAAATCGTGGCAATGTCTGGGAGCACATTATCCTCCTTCTCCTGTCTAGTAAATCGTGGCAATGTCTGGGAGCACATTATCCTCCTTCTCCTGTCTAGTAAATCGTGGCAATGTCTGGGAGCACATTATCCTCCTTCTCCTGTCTAGTAAATCGTGGCAATGTCTGGGAGCACATTATCCTCCTTCTCCTGTCTAGTAAATCGGGACTTTCTCGATTCAGTTTTTTTTGTCGTCCTATATGGATACTTCTCCCAGCAGAACATGGCCATTATCCTGGCGGTAACTTGCTGGGATTTCAGCTCAATGGCGTCAGCCTTTGCGAGTCGTTCCCCGTGTCCCTGTATGGGGTGTGGCTGCCGGCATGTAGGGGTTTCATGACCTGATCAGGGAGGACTGGGTTGGTTGATGTGATCACCTTTGAAATAATTGCTTTGCTCCAATGTTTGTGTATTTGGATGGTGTATGTATTTGCTTTGCTTTGGGGTTGTTGTTTTTTTATTTTAGTTTGTTTTTTAGGGGGAGGGGGGTGGTGTAGAGAAATTCCCAATACATTTGAAATATATGGTGTAAAATATTCTCCCACACATCATGTGTCCTCAAATTGAAAGGCATTGGATTTGTTTGCAATGAGAAAGTGTAGAGCTATGCTGGAGAGAAGAGATTTGGATTATATGAGCTTGGCTGGATATTTTGAAAATGTTGCGTTAAGCTGTGTATGTGTGTGTGTGTCTTGAGTTTTGTTTCAGCTCAGTTTTAATTTGTACCATACTCGTTTACTTTTGATAAGGAGTGTTTTTTTAACAGAGGCTTTTGAGAGGTTTTAGTGTACATGCGAATATATTGTTTTATTTTTTTTAAATTGCAGGGTATATTAGGTGATAAGCGATTTGAATGTGTAAAAAAAAAACAGGTTGTGTTTTAAGGGCATACTCGTGTTTTGTCAGCATTTTTGTGAATCAGTTAAAGATGCCTGAAGAACAATTTTGATTGTAAAGAATTTCATCTCGGTTCCGTTTGCCTCTGCCTTGTTGTAGACCGCAGTGACACAATCATTTAACTTGATTCTCCGATAAAACATTTTTTAAAGTGTCGGTGTTAAATAAAAGACGTCCGTTTGATGGAGTCAGGTGCTAGTTCAGACTTTCATAGTTGTAAATGCCATCGTCATGTCATCTCTGCAATGTGTTTTAGTTAAACGCTCCTTATTCTCAGTGTTTTTTCGCTCTTTAGTTTTTATTTTGTCCTATTTTGAAATTCTATGAACTCATTTGTATGGCCTCACTCATTTGTATGGTCTCTTGTTGAATTCCCACAAAGAGCACGTCTCACTTTTTACCCAATGTTGACAGCGACGTCTTGGTACTGAGCTTGGTCCCTCACTCGTGCTGCGACTTCCTTCCCTTTCTCCCTGGTTTTAGCCAATCTTTTGTCAGAATGCTTCATCGCTACGGGTGTGGCGTACGTGTATTTGTACATTTTTTAATGTGGTTTCGTATGTTTCGATTTTGACTGAGTGAAGCGACATCCAAGTGCTTGATGGATGTTTAGTTCGTTTATCTGAGGAGAGGGGAGGAGCTTGTGTAAACTTGTGTAAACTGTTGTATGTTCAGTTTGTGCAAGTGGTGATGAAGTCTGTAATAATGCTGGTGTTTCTTTGTACTTTGTGTGAATATATTTGAAGACTACAGGGGCAAACGACTGCAGTCACTAACTGAAAATCATGAGTGTACCAATTTTGAACCCTTGTTGACTCATAACTGTATTTCTGTTCAACTGTTGGTTGATTATTGTTGTTAGATTTTCCATTCAACAACACTTAACAATAACCCACCAGTCAAACAAATATGAAGTTATGAGTCCTCAAGCTTTTAAAATTGGTACCCTCACAATTTCCAGTTTGTGACTACCGTCATTTTTTCCCCTGTGCTCTTCAAATGTGAGTGCAGCTGGCCAGTAAGTCAAGTGTGTGTTGTCGAGAGGTTTAGGTTCAATGGATGGTGGCAAGTTTGTCACCCAAAGCGGATGTTTTTCATTTCATTTTATTTGGAAAAATCAGTAAGTGAGGTTTAGGCTGAATGGATGGTTAAGTTGTCATACAAAGCGGGTGTAAACGTTTTGAAATGATGACAGTTTTACTGACGAAACGGCGATGCCATTATTTATACATGACATTATGTGTGTGCATTGTCTGAACGAAATTTCCGTACGAGCGAAGTGGAGAGTTGAATGCCGTTTTTCGGAAGATCTTATTGGTTTGAAATGGCAGGGCTTTTAAAAATATATATATAGTTTTTAAAATATGTTTCTGTTATTGTGTGTACTGTGGTATACAAGCTCTTACTTCTTGTACATACAGGTGTGTGTCTATGGTACATGGGAAGATGTGATTTACAGGGTGTCATTTGGTCGCCTATTGCCTGTTTTTTCAACCCTTTAACCCTTTGACAGCATTTTTGCATTCACTGATACGTCCAGATGTGGAAATTTGTGCCATTCCATGGCATATCAGGTGTGTCATTATGGCATTGAAGGGGTTAATGTGAACAATATTTGTTAATTCTCTACATTTGCATCTGAGTGTAGTTGCCTTTGAGTGAGGTGAGATGGCTCAATTTTTCCTTGTTGACCATCTTTCATTGCACTAATCATTCACTAATGCGGTACCAAGTCACACAAAAAAACACACTCATTTTTTTCTGTCCCTCATCTTTTCATCTGGCTCTGATATTTTCATCGAGAGCTTGATGGTTTGGG